AAACTAGGACAAGAGATACACTGCAATGGGGCAACAGGGCACTCCTAGGAATGTTCTTTTTATAATATATACAGTGAGGGAAAAAGTATTTGATGCCCTGCTGATTTTGTACGTTTGTCCACTGACAAAGAAATGATCAGTCTATAATTTTAATGGTAGGTTTATTTGAACAGTGAGAGACAGAATAACAACAACAAAAATCCTGAAAAACGCATGTCAAAAATGTTATATATTGATTTGTCGTGGATGGGTATTCCAGCATGACAATGACCCAAAACACACGACCAAGGCAACAAAGGAGTGGCTCAAGAAGAAGCACATTAAGGTCCTGGAGTGGCCTAGCCAGTCTCCAGACCTTAATCCCATAGAAAATCTGTGGAGGGAGCTGAAGGTTCGAGTTGCCAAACGTCAGCCTCGAAACCTTAATGACTTGGAGAAGATCTGCAATGAGGAGTGGAACAAAATCCCTCCTGAGATGTGTGCAAACCTGGTGGCCAACTACAAGAAACGTCTGACCTCTGTGATTGCCAACAAGGGTTTTGCCACCAAGTACTAAATCATGTTTTGCAGAGGGGTCAAATACTTATTTCCTTCATTAAAATGCAAATCAATTTATAACATTTTTGACATGCGTTTTTCTGGATTATTTTGTTGTTATTCTGTCTCTCACTGTTCAAATAAACCTACCATTAAAATTATAGACTGATCATGTCTTTGTCAGTGGGCAAACGTACAAAATCAGCAGGGGATCAAATACTTTTTTCCCTCACTGTATATATATATATATATATCTGCTCCTGCTCTCTCTCACTCACTCTAACTCACACGCACACACACACACACACACACACACACACAACACACACACACACACACACACAACACACACACACACACGGTGGTGGCTCTAAGCTGACCCTCCATCAGTTATTTTAAGTGTGATGTGAGATAAATCTGTCTGCTTTAATCTGTGGTGACCTGTCCTCTCACCACATCTCTCTGGACCTGTCCTCTCACCACAGGTCTCTGGACCTGTCCTCTCACTATATCTCTCTGGACCTGTCCTCTCACCCACAGGTCTCTGGACTGTCCTCTCACCACAGGTCTCTGGACCTGTCCTCTCACTACATCTCTCTGGACCTGTCCTCTCACTATATCTCTCTGGACCTGTCCTCTCACCACAGGTCTCTGGACCTGTCCTCTCACCACAGGTCTCTGGACCTGTCCTCTCACTATATCTCTCTGGACCTGTCCTCTCACTACATCTCTCTGGACCTGTCCTCTCAGCACAGCTCTCTGGACCTGTCCTCTCACTATATCTCTCTGGACCTGTCCTCTCACTATATCTCTCTGGACCTGTCCTCTCACTACATCTCTCTGGACCTGTCCTCTCACCACAGGTCTCTGGACCTGTCCTCTCACTATATCTCTCTGGACCTGTCCTCTCACTACATCTCTCTGGACCTGTCCTCTCAGCACAGCTCTCTGGACCTGTCCTCTCAGCACATCTCTCTGGAGCTGTCCCCTCACTACATCTCTCTGGACCTGTCCTCTCAGCACATCTCTCTGGACCTGTCCTCTCAGCACAGCTCTCTGGACCTGTCCTCTCAGCACAGCTCTCTGGACCTGTCCTCTCAGCACAGCTCTCTGGACCTGTCCTCTCACTATATCTCTCTGGACCTGTCCTCTCAGCAGTTGGAGAGATGAGATAAAGCTGACTTGTTATTCATTACATTTCAGGGCTACTTCTCCAGTGGGTGACAGGAATGTTACGTTGGAGTGGTCCCTTAACGCCAGTTAAGGTTATAATTGAATAGACTAAGTCTGACTAATTACAGTGCTCCTGAATGGTCTCATTGTCTCACTGTCAAGGAAGGCATTTCACTGTACTTGTGCACGTGACATTAAAACTTGAAACCTGTCTCCCTCTCCCTCTCTTATGGAAGTGTGTACGTCTCCCTAGTCCCTACCTACACTCTACCTATACACTCTCTACCCCCCCCACACACACACACACACACACACACACACTCTACCTACACAGTCTATCAGTACACATCCCTCTTCGTACACACATTCTGGAGACACAATGGAGTGTACAAGCTGTAACCCTGCCTACTATCTGCAGACTATCTGTCTAACAGACAAATTAACTCCACTAAAGCAAGCAGACTGAGCCACAGTGGTGGAAAAAGTACCCAATTGTCATACTTCAAAGCAAAGATCCTTTAATAGAAAATGACTCAAATAAAAGTGAAAGTCACCCAGTAAAATACTACTTGAGTAAAAGTCTAAAAGTATTTGGTTTTAAATATATTTAAGTATCAACTGTAAAAGTATAAATCATTTCAAATTGCTTATATTAAGCAAACCAGAGGGCACCATTTTCTTGTTTTAATTTATTTATGGATAGCCAGAGGCACACTCCAACACTCAGACATAATTTACAAACTAAGCATGTGTTTAGTGAGTCCACCAGATCAGAGGCAGTAGGGATGACCAGGGATGTTCTCTTGATAAGTGTGTGAATTTGACCATTTTCCTGTCCTGATAAGCATTCAAAATGTAACGAGTACTTTAAGGTGTCAGGGAAAATGTATGGAGAAAATGTATGGAGTAGAAAGTATATTATTTTCATTAGGAATGTAGTGAAAGTAAAATATAAATAGTAAAGTACAGACAGTCAAAAAACTACTTAAGTAGTCCTTTAAAGTATTTTTACATAAGTACTTTACACCACTGGTGAGTCGGAGTGTGTGTGTTCATTCTCACATGACAGTTATCCAGCCTCTTAGAATCTGCAGACACCACATGAAAACAACATAAACACTGACCCTCAACTCAGCCAGCCAAATTCACAGGTTTAAATGTAATCTGACCGCAGCATACTGTGTTCTACAGAGTGTCTCCAAACTGGCACTACATTGGAGTCTGCATTCACACTCAATAATGCTCACAGACATGTAATAAAGACTGACTATGCCAACGTGTGTGTGAGAGAGACAGGGATGAGAGGAGAGATACAGCAGTAGGTGTCTTTCATCTCTTTCTCCAGGAAGACACCAGACACCTTAATTACCTCCACCTGTGAGGAGACAAAGAGACACACCCACCAATCTCTCCTGCACCACACCCCGATTCCCACGGTAACACTCTAGAGCCCACACAGTCCCAACCCCCTGCCCCCCCCCGGATGTGAGGAAGATGTACTCACATCCAGTGAGTCCTCGTTGACGATGAGGAGAGACATGCCGTGGGTCACCAGACGACAGGAGTAACCTAAGACAGAGAATACAATCTCAGATACAGCATAGAAACAGACACACATTAAAAATAAGTAAACTCCATCACAGCTTCCAAGAGCGCACGACGATATAGACGAATAAGCGGAGAAGCATTGGAAGCACAGATGGAGCCTTCAGACGCAGTAAGCATGCATGTCGTCGCAATAGCTTCTCTACTTCGTAGATTTCTCTCCATCCGTGACTCTGATCTCTCTGAATACTGCAAACTAATAAGCGCGCTATCTCCAGTGATGGGGGACTGTGAGTCGTCCAGGGAAGGGAGCGCAGAGATCGAGGCTCGAGCCTTCATCAGAGTCTCTACTGCGATGGTTCAGGACTCCTCTCTGCGTCTCTTCCTTGGCCCTCTCTCCTCAACACCAGGTCCATAGACGTCGAGTTAGTCAGAGGGACAAGATTGAGTGGGGGCAGAGAGGGGAGGGTGGGACCGCGGAGACGGTCCTCAAGTGGGCCCCAAAAGGGAACAGGTCAGAAGAGGGAGGGGGAGAGGGAGGGGGAGAGGAGAGAGAGGAGGGAGAGGAGGGGGGGAGAGAGAGGGGGGAAGAAGAGGGGGGGGAGAGGAGAGAGGGGGAGAGGAGGGGGGTAGGAAAGGGGGAGAAAGAGGGGAGAGAGAGAGAGAGAGAGAGGGGGAGAGGTAGAGAGAAGGAATTTATGAAAGACAATGAGTGGGGTTAGACTAAGAGAGAGGCATACATGTAAATACATTCAGAAAATGCCTTTCTGGACAAAATACAACATGGAGGAGTTTGGTGGTTCATTGTGTTGTGAGGGACCGCTTATAAGCTACAACCAAGTAGAAGAGACAGGCTGGTCAGCAGCAGCATAAGACAGGGTAAGAAAAGGTGGGTATCATGTTAAAACTCTCTATGTGGGTCAAACAGCAGCATGGGGAAAGTCTGTTAATGTTTCCCAAACGTTTATATTGAACTCTATTAAAACACGCAAATACAGTCATATGTACACACACACACACACACACACACACACACACACACACACACACACACACACATAAGGAAACAGTGCGGTGTTGTTGACTCCAGTTTTAAGGGGCTCTTGGCAGACTGGTGAGGGTAATTATCCCTGTGGTTTTTCAGTTTTTCCTCTTCCCTCACTTTTATCCCGTCACCTCTCCTCTCCTCTCCTCTGGGCCGTCTCTCAAAACCCCTCTTTACTGGAGTACTGCCTCACATTACAGCCAAACAAAGGCAGCTGTGGTGTCGATGTTCCATCCTAATGACCAGCCTTAACAGACACACTCTCAGGATGCCTACAGCTGCCATGTCCAGACTATTAGTGACTGCAGACATGATCACGTCCAGATATATACACGTCCAGGTATACTGGAGCTGTCCTCTGGGTTACAGGGTGTCTGTACTGTTGACACCTTAGGGGAGAGACTGACTGGGGTTAGCACGCACACACACACACACACACACACACACACACACACACACACACAACACACACACACACACACACACACACACACACACACCACACACACACACCACACACACACACACACACACACACACACCACACACACACACACACACACACACACACACACACACACACACACACACACACACACACACACACACACACACACACACACACACACACACACACACATATAGGGGGAGTTTCCTCTGGGGAAAAATGGCTTCTTCAGCACTGAGAGGTCATAATTCTCTACAGTGGATCAGTGGGACCACTGTGCCCTCTGCTGGACAAACCCACCAGCCCAGCAACACACTGACTGAAAGAGATGGGGTGAGGGGTCGTCACCATCTTACCATGCTAGACAGTACAGAGGTATGTATTTTCAGTATCTAACTAGACATGCAATGCTAATCACTAACTGCTAAGCCCAACCTTAACCCTTACCTTCTCCAGCAGTTCGTAGCAGTCTTCTAGTTTCTGGGCCCGGTCTTTGATGATAGTGCTAATCCGGGTGTACTCCTTCAGCCACTCCTGGTACACCCCCTCCTCCAGATCAACATAGCTAAAACACAGAGTCCGCAGACCTGGGGGGGACAAGGTCAACATGTAATACAGTAGAAATAATGTAGTAATAATGTAGATAACAAAAAGGGAGTGAAAGGGAAAAATGAATCTTGCAGAGAAAAATATGGTAAATAGGTAAGAGAACGTAGGAAAAAGTTAGGAGGAACAAATATGACCAAGACCAGGACATTTAAAAAGAGAAAGGCCGTACCCTCGGTGGCGAACTGTTCCAGATGTGCGATGGTCAGCTCTTTGTACTGAGACGCATCAGTGAGACGCTCAAAGATCACATTATCCTGAAACACACAACATGACTAAAATGTAATGTAAATGACATCATCAACACGCGCCGGTTCATCATCAATATGAGCAATGCCACTAGGGGAATAAACTGTGGGTGCAGTCAATGACTGGGGTTATACTCACTGCTCCCTTGCAGTAAAGACGCAGTTTCCCATCGGGGGTTCGGACCACTACAGACATGCGCTTACGGTTACTGTAGAAAAGGGAATGACTGTTAAGTGTCTGTGAATGTGTGTGTGTGTGTCGTGATTGTGTGTGTGCGTATGTGTATGAGTGTCATTTTACTTACCTTGAAAACTCCAGCACATTCAGCAACTCAAAGCTCTCCTCCTTCCCCCTCTGAAAGACACAAACAAATAGAAAGAATGAAACAGAGAAGAGGATGAGATTTATTTTCTTCAAATGACGCGTCCATCCCCGTGTCTCCAGCCCACACTTACGGCTTCGATGATAACTGAGCCAGGAGTCCTTGCTGTGAAAACGAAGCCCAGACCTTTGGCTCCTTTCACCAGAGCTCCTTCATCTGAGGAAAGGAAAACACACATGCAGTGCACATACTAGTTCATGTTGAGTTGATTAGTACGATTGGCTCTAAGGTGTAGTAGCTTGGATGTGTTTGGTTCTATTGTCTAGTAGCCGAGTTATGATTGACTCTAAGGTATATAAGCTGTGTCGTGATAGGCTGTCTACCTGGCGAGGAGGCCTGATAGATAAGCTGGTCCTCTTCTCTCTCTGGGACCACCGTGTGACACACCGCCATCATCGTCAGGAACTCACAGATCTGAGCAGAGGTCGGCTGGAGAGAGGGAACGGGAGAGAGAGCGAGATCGAGAGCGAGATCGAGAGAGAGACAGAGAGTAGTCATACACTGCCCAGTGTCATTCTCATTCAGTATAATAATTATCACGAGAAGAAGAACTCAGGTGCTCAGGGGAACACCTACATGGTTATTCTCAATGTTCTGGATGAGAGTGGGGTCATCAAACTCTGTGGAGTTATGACTGTTGCACGGCAGGGGACTGAGAGAGAAGGAGATGGGACAGAATTAAACACTACTAATCTACACTAATTATATAAAACAAAAGAATAGCACAGCCAAATCACAGCCAAAGGTGAAGAATAAGAGGAGGTCACTGACCTGAAGTCCTCCATGGAACGATCACCATCTAGGTCAGGGAAGTGCCCGTATGTTATTCCAGCGATGGTACACTTCTTGAAGTGCATGACATTACAGGTGAGCGTTCCTGTCTTATCAGAAAACAGATACTTCACCTGGGAGAGAGGGGAAAAAGGAAGGGTATCAGTTCATAACAGGAATCAACTCTGATTGGTTGAGCCCTGATGTGAACATGATAAAGATTGGTGGTGAGTCCATCCTCACCTGGCCCAGTTCTTCGTTGAGATTGGACGTTCGAGCCATGGCGGGTGTGTCTGTCTCCGGGTAGTACATCTCCACATCCTGACACCAAACACAGAGACGTTAGATGAAAGACATCTAAAGACAGCCAAACACTCTCTCAACACACACACACGAGCGTGCGCCCGTCCGTACCCAGTTGATGAAGAGTGCCTGTGTGAACCTGACCACCTCCAGAGTGACCAGCAGGCTGATGGGGATGAGGTTGTTGTAGAGGATGATGAACGTCAGCAGGTTATACCAGAAGTTAGTGGAGATGTCACCTGTAGACACACACACGGTCAAGTGGTTGTATGGAAGAGGGATAAATAACTAACGGGCATGTGTGTGTGTGTGTCCATGGGTGTGTGTCCAAGGGTGTGTGTGTGTGTGTGTGTGTGTATTCTCACCTGCGCGTGACAGGTACCAGCAGGCCTCCTCAGTGTGTTGCTGGTTCCAGATGGAGGCTCCTATAGAACTCACTAGCGCCATCACCAGCAGAATGCAGAACAGCACCAGAATCTGGACGTTGGTCACCCGCTCCACGTTAGAACGCTTCAGAGGGGCCTTGGTCGAGTTCTGGAAGGAACATTCACCACATTCAAGTGGAACTACAAAACACCCCAAATGGCACAGAGTTTGGGAACACGGAAGGAGGATGAACACCAAACTCTACAGCCTTGTATTAGAGTTTAGATTCGCTTGATTCAAGACTATGATTCAAGTTAGGTTTGCATCCCAATAAAGGCTTGAAATGGCTCACCTGCATCAGTTTGGAGTCATGTCCAGTGTAGACTATAATTCCCACAACCCATTGCGTGTTCCTGAGCTGGGCACCTCGCAGCAGCACCTGGTCAGGACCCAGAGGAACCGCACTGGAGAGTGAGAACAGTGACAATCAGGTGGAGGTTCAAAATGATGCAATCCTATGTTGGGTGTGTGTTGAGAGAGAGAGAGACAGAGTGTGTGTGTGTTCAGTACTTTTGGTTGTCCAGGCGTAGGGTCCCAGTGAAGTCATACAGGTGTCTGTTGGGCTCTTCACATTCCAGACGGCCAGAGAGACCCATCAGCTCCTCCAGAGACTGGAGACCAACTGTGAGAGGGAGACCCTGAAATATACACACACCCTGTTAGAGCAGGTACACACTAACACACACACACACACACTAACACACACACACACACACACACTAACACACACAGTCCCATCACCAGCTCCTCCGGAGGCTGATAAAACATACCGTTGGGGTCATTCCGCACGCGTCTCACCTGTCTGATCTTCAGGTTGGTTTCTCCATCCAGGTTGGAGGTCTCAGTGTAACACATGGCCTGGGGCTCACTGTGGAGAGAGATGGAGTCCAACTTTACCACAACATTTATCTATGCAACGGTCAAATTACAATATTGAATCATTGATCAAACATAATGGTGACAACCCTCAATGCCTCCCCTATTACTAGCTTGACCCTACTGATCAAACACTACTCTTACTAACACTGACCACACAAAAACACAAGACCGCAAACCAACCTGGAGGACACTATGACCATGTCAGCTGGAAGATGCTGCCCATTGGTCACCTTCACTATGTCTCCTACTGCCACCTTGTGGCCAGGACGCAGCAATGCAACAGCGTGAGGTGAGAATGACATTGAAAATGGATGGATGGATGGAGGGAGAGAGAGAGAGGCATGGTGGAGGGAGGGAGAGGGATGGTGGAGGGAGGGAGAGGGATGGAGGGACGGAGGGAGGGGATGGTGGAGGGAGGGAGAGAGAAAGTGACAGTGAGCAGGAAGTAGCTTTACTGTGTATGTTAATACCTGACGCTTCCCTCAGTCAGAGCAAGGTCAGCATTAGATACAGAGGACATTAACCAACATTGAGAAAGATGCCAGAGAACATTCCGGAGAGGTACAGAATGTGCCATGCAGTCTTTATTACTAGGGGCCCAGAGTTTTCCTTCACCATATCACCTGATCAGGAAAAACTCTGGGACCTAGTTACAGGCTGCAACTAGAGTTCAAATCAAATACAATTTTATTGATCACATACAGTGGGGAGAACAAGTATTTGATACACTGCCGATTTTGCAGGTTTTCCTACTTACAAAGCATGTAGAGGTCTGTCATTTTTATCATAGGTACACTTCAACTGTGAGAGACGGAATCTAAAACAAAAATCCAGAAAATCACATTGTATGATTTTTAAGTAATTAATTTGCATTTTATTGCATGACATAAGTATTTGATCACCTACCAACCAGTAAGAATTCCGGATCTCACAGACCTGTTAGTTTTTCTTTAAGAAGCCCTCCTGTTCTCCACTTATTACCTGTATTAACTGCACCTGTTTGAACTCGTTACCTGTATAAAAGACACTTGTCCACACACTCAATCAAACAGACTCCAACCTCTCCACAATGGCCAAGACCAGAGAGCTGTGTAAGGACATCAGGGATAAAATTGTAGACCTGCACAAGGCTGGGATGGGCTACAGGACAATAGGCAAGCAGCTTGGTGAGAAGGCAACAACTGTTGGCGCAATTATTAGAAAATGGAAGAAGTTCAAGATGACGGTCAATCACCCTCGGTCTGGGGCGCCATGCAAGATCTCACCTCGTGGGGCATCAATGATCATGGGGAAGGTGAGGGATCAGCCCAGAACTACACGACAGGACCTGGTCAATGACCTGAAGAGAGCTGGGACCACAGTCTCAAAGAAAACCATTAGTAACACACTACGCCGTCATGGATTAAAATCCCCCTGCTCAAGTCAGCGCATGTCCAGGCCCGTTTGAAGTTTACCAATGACCATCTGGATGATCCAGAGGAGGAATGGGAGAAGGTCATGTGGTCTGATGAGACAAAAATTGAGCTTTTTGGTCTAAACTCCACTCGCCGTGTTTGGAGGAAGAAGAAGGATGAGTACAACCCCAAGAACACCATCCCAACCGCGAAGCATGAAGGTGGAAACATCATTCTTTGGGGATGCTTTTCTGCAAAGGGGACAGGACGACTGCACCGTATTAAGGGGAGGATGGATGGGGCCATGTATCGCGAGATCTTGGCCAACAACCTCCTTCCCTCAGTAAGAGCATTGAAGATGGGTCATGGCTGGGTCTTCCAGCATGACAACAACCCGAAACACACAGCCAGGGCAACTAAGGAGTGGCTCCGTAAGAAGCATCTCAAGGTCCTGGAGTGGCCTAGCCAGTCTCCAGACCTGAACCCAATAGAAAATCTTTGGAGGGAGCTGAAAGTCCGTATTGCCCAGCGACAGCCCCGAAACCTGAAGGATCTGGAGAAGGTCTGTATGGAGGAGTGGGCCAAAATCCCTGCTGCAGTGTGTGCAAACCTGGTCAAGACCTACAGGAAACGTATGATCTCTGTAATTGCAAACAAAGGTTTCTGTACCAAATATTAAGTTCTGCTTTTCTGATGTATCAAATACTTATGTCATGCAATAAAATGCAAATTAATTACTTAAAAATCATACAATGTGATTTTCTGGATTTTTGTTTTGGATTCCGTCTCTCACAGTTGAAGTGTACCTATGATAAAAATTACAGACCTCTACATGCTTTGTAAGTAGGAAAACCTGCAAAATCGGCAGTGTATCAAATACTTGTTCTCCCCACTGTACATATATTTAGCAGATGTTATTGCGGGTGTAGCGAAATGCTTGTGCTCCTAGTTAGGAGTTTTTCCATGTTCAGGTCGTGTGTTGTGGAAAGAACTGTCGGCTCCATCTGTAACCACTAGTCAGACTGGCTGTTGAGAGAAGAGGATGAGTGTAATGTTACCTGTTTCCATATGATGGTCTGCCAGGCTCCATTCCTCAGAACTGAGACACAATGACAACAGAGCTGTTAGCCTATACACTTCATATACTGCTGCTCTTTCCTAAAGCACAACTGTCTATTCCTTAAACTAAACTCAGCAAAAAAAGAAACATCCCTTTTTCAGGATCCTGAAAGGGTTTAAACACTGTTTCCCATGCTTGTTCAATGAACCATAAACAATTAATGAACATGCACCTGTGGAACGGTCGTTAAGACACTAACAGCTTACAGACGGTAGGCAATTAAGGTCACAGTTATGAAAACTTAAGACACTAAAGAGGTCTTTCTACTGACTCTGAAAAACACCAAAAGAAAGATGCCCAGGGTCCCTGCTCATCTGCGTGAACGTGCCTTAGGCATGCTGCAAGGAGGCATGAGGACTGCAGATGTGGCCAGTGCAACAAATTGCAATGTCCGTACTGTGAGACGCCTAAGACAGCGCTACAGGGAGACAGGACGGACAGCTGATCGTCCTCGCAGTGGCAGAACACGTGTAACAATACCTGCCCAGGATCGGTACATCTGAACATCACACCTGTGGGACAGGTACAGGATGGCAACAACAACTGCCCGAGTTACACCAGGAACGCACAATCCCTCCATCAGTGCTCAGACTGTCCGCAATAGGCTAAGAGAGGCTGGACTGAGGGCTTGTAGGCCTGTTGTAAGGCAGGTCCTCACCAGACATCACTGGCAACAACGTCGCCTATGGGCACAAACCCACTGTTGCTGGAACAGACAGGACTGGCAAAAAGTGCTCTTCACTGACGAGTTCTGGTTTTGCTCACCAGGGGTGTTGGTCGGATTCACGTTTATTGTCGAAGGAATGAGCGTTACACCGAGGCCTGTACTCTGGAGCGGGGTCGATTTGGAGGGTCTGTCATGGTCTGGGGCGGTGTGTCACAGCATCATCGGACTGAGCTTGTTGTCATTGCAGGCAATCTCAACGCTGTGCGTTACAGGGAAGACATCCTCCTCCCTCTTGTGGTACCCTTCCTGCAGGCTCATCCTGACCCTCCAGCATGACAATGCCACCAGCCATACTGCTCGTACTGTGCGTGATTTCCTGCAAGACAGGAATGTCAGCGAAGAGCCCGGATCTCAATCCCATTGAGCACGTCTGGGACCTGTTGGTTCGGAGGGTGAGGGCTAGGGCCATTCCCCCCAGAAATGTCAGGGAACTTGCAGGTGCCTTGGTGGAAGAGTGGGGTAACATCTCACAGCAAGAACTGGTAAATCTGGTGCAGTCCATGAGGAGGAGATGCACTGCAGTACTTAATGCAGCTGGTGGTCACACCAGATACTGACTGTTACTTTTGATTTTGACCCCGCCCCTTTGATCAGGGACACATTACTCCATTTCTGTTAGTCATATGTCTGTGGAACTTGTTCAGTTTATGTCTCAGTTGTTGAATCTTGTTATGTTCATACAAATATTTACACATGTTATGTTTGCTGAAAATAAACACAGTTGACAGTGAGAGGACTTTTCTTTTCTTGCTGAGTTTACATGGAATTCACTGATGAAACTGGCTAGCATGGGCACACACGTCCAATACCTGTGGTCTTTTTCTTGTTGACTGTGTTGTCTGCCTTGTGTCTTTGCTGTAAAGAGACAGAGAGGGGGTGTTAGTTCCTTATGAGTCCCCTCCCTTTTTCTGTCACATTAGACGCACAAGAATGGCACAGTGCTGGCTAAGCCATTGTTTTGGAACAGAGGGGGAGATTTAGAAACTCTGCAGGGTGTTGTTCCACAGCGGGGGAGCTGAGCTGTGTCTGTTGAGCTGTGTCTGTTGAGCTGTGTCCGTCCTACTTACATAGTCCTCTATGATCTCTTTGATCCCGGCCACAGTGAGGATGAAGATGAGTGGTACCAGGGTGGTGTAGCGACCCGTAGGAGACACATCAGGGATTTGCTGAGAGGAAGAACACAGAGACCATGGTGAGAAAGCACTGACGGTTTGGTTAGACACGGTCAGGTTGTCAATGCAGGTTACAGATAGAAATGTAATGGACAGAGCTGATTCGTTTTATAGTTCTACGCGACAGAGAATATTATCTTCTCTAGACAACACATTTGACGTTGCGCCCTCCACCTGTACTGGCCGTGGCCTACCTGCATCAGGGCGATGAAGAGGAAGAAGGCGTTGGCGGCGCGGCGGATCTGCTCATACAGGAAACGAGGCAAGAAGGTGAGCACCCCGTACTTAGTGGTACTGAGGAGAAGTAGAAGGAGGAGAAGTAGGAGGAGGAGGAGGGGGGATATAGGGAAGACACAGGGTTAGTCACCACGGTAATGAAGCACAAATATGCACACCAAAAAAGTAATCCCCCTTGGGCTCTGTATATACTGTAGACAAAAATAGGGAGTTTGATTTTATTTTGCAGAAACTTTCTTGTGGTCTCTAGGGTAACACAGATGTAGTCACTAGAGTTAAATCCCTTCTTCAAAACATTCTTTAAAAATCTCCACTAAAATTATCGATGCACATGAAACCCCATTAGAGAGACAATACAATTAGACTCAAAATGTCCTCTGGCGGTGAAACGGGAATATTTAAGATGAATAAAGTTAATATTCAGTTAATAGGTATTAACACAATGCTTAGCATATATTTTTTCCCTTTTCTGTAATGCACATGATTTCCAGTGTTCTATTTGTGACACTCATTTGTGTACTGGTTGATGGTCACTAGACCTGTTACTGATGTTCTGGATTGTTCTTATATCGTTTTACAGTGGCTGAGGACACACTGATTCTTATAGTACTGATGACAATACAGTGGGGAAAAAAGTATTTAGTCAGCCACCAATTGTGCAAGTTCTCCCACTTAAAAAGATGAGAGAGGCCTGCAATTTTCATCATAGGTACACGTCAACTATGACAGACAAAATGAGAATTTAAAAAATCCAGAAAATCACATTGTAGGATTTTTTATGAATTTATTTGCAAATTATGGTGGAAAAATAGGTATTTGGTCAATAACAAAAGTTTCTCAATACTTTGTTATATACCCTTTGTTGGCAATGACACAGGTCAAACGTTTTCTGTAAGTCTTCACAAGGTTTTCACACACTGTTGCTGGTATTTTGGCCCATTCCTCCATGCAGATCTCCTCTAGAGCAGTGATGTTTTGGGGCTGTCGCTGGGCAACACGGACTTTCAACTCCCTCCAAAGATTTTCTATGGGGTTGAGATCTGGAGACTGGCTAGGCCACTCCAGGACCTTGAAATGCTTCTTACGAAGCCACTCCTTCGTTGCCCGGGCGGTGTGTTTGGGATCATTGTCATGCTGAAAGACCCAGCCACGTTTCATCTTCAATGCCCTTGCTGATGGAAGGAGGTTTTTACTCAAAATCTCACGATACATGGCCCCATTCATTCTTTCCTTTACACGGATCAGTCGTCCTGGTCCCTTTGCAGAAAAACAGCCCCAAAGCATGATGTTTCCACCCCCATGCTTCACAGTAGGTATGGTGTTCTTTGGATGCAACTCAGCATTCTTTGTCCTCCAAACACGACGAGTTGAGTTTTTACCAAAAAGTTATATTTTGGTTTCATCTGACCATATGACATTCTCCCAATCCTCTTCTGGTTCATCCAAATGCACTCTAGCAAACTTCAGACGGGCCTGGACATGTACTGGCTTAAGCAGGGGGACACGTCTGGCACTGCAGGATTTGAGTCCCTGGCGGCGTAGTGTGTTACTGATGGTAGGCTTTGTTACTTTGGTCCCAGCTCTCTGCAGGTCATTCACTAGGTCCCCCCGTGTGGTTCTGGGATTTTTGCTCACCGTTCTTGTGATCATTTTGACCCCACGGGGTGAGATCTTGCGTGGAGCCCCAGATCGAGGGAGATTATCAGTGGTCTTGTATGTCTTCCATTTCCTAATAATTGTTCCCACAGTTGATTTCTTCAAACCAAGCTGCTTACCTATTGCAGATTCAGTCTTCCCAGCCTGGTGCAGGTCTACAATTTTGTTTCTGGTGTCCTTTGACAGCTCTTTGGTCTTGGCCATAGTGGAGTTTGGAGTGTGACTCTTTGAGGTTGTGGACAGGTGACTTTTATACTGATAACAAGTTCAAACAGGTGCCATTAATACAGGTAATGAATGGAGGACAGAGGAGCCTCTTAAAGAAGAAGTTACAGGTCTGTGAGAGCCAGAAATCTTGCTTGTTTGTAGGTGACCAAATACTTATTTTCCACCATAATTTGCAAATAAATTAATTTAAAATCCTACAATGTGATTTTCTGGAATTATTTTTCTCAATTTGTCTGTCATAGTTGACGTGTACCTATGATGAAAATTACAGGCCTCTCTCATCTTTTTAAGTGGGAGAATTTGCACAATTGGTGGCTGACTAAATACTTTTTTCCCCACTGTATGAATACTATGTGATTCTGTAGCAGCTGGCAAAGTTACTGCCTTCTGTTTTGACTTCGTACACTCCTCTCAGGCTGATGTTTAGAGAACATTGAGTACTGTCTGATTAGAATTTAAAGGGCCTGTCTCCAAGAGCTGCATGTTGCAACTTGCAATTGAACTGAAATGATTTTGATTGATGTTATCAACGACTACTCTCCTTTTTGTTCAACTGGAAATTCCTGTTACAGGTAGCAAAACATAACCGGATCTGGTAGCACTTTACTTGATATCCAGCGTCATAACCATGTCATACTATGGTCATAAAACTGTCATGAAACATTTAGATCTGTTGTGACATATATTGTGTTATTTTATGGATGGTTATGACACCTACATTAGAGTGTAAAAACCCACAAAACTTACCACACAAGGCAAAACATTCCATTACACCATAGCCTACGTGTCAACAGTATGTTTAAGTTATATAACATTTTCTGAAATGGACCATATTAAATGATCATTGTAATTGAACACACATTGATGTCAGACATGCACCTACCCCAATGCTCTGTTTCTGATGACTGGGATGAATGCAGGGGCAGAACAAGACACCCTCTTTGTGACTGATGACTGACATAATGGCATGTGCCTGGATAGGCCTATCTGGCTTATATGATTATGATGTCATAACGCTTCTTGACAGTGTCATAAAGTGCATTTTCTTAGTCCAAGTAAAGTGACACAGGATGGTCATAACGCTTCTTGACAGTGTCATAAAGTGCATTTTCTTAGTCCAAGTAAAGTGACACAGGATGGTCATAACGCTTCTTGACAGTGTCATAAAGTGCATTTTCTTAGTCCAAGTAAAGTGACACAGGATGGTCATAACGCTTCTTGACAGTGTCATAAAGTGCATTTTCTTAGTCCAAGTAAAGTGACACAGGATGGTCATAATGCCTCTTGACAATGTCATAAAGTGTATTTTCTTAGTCCAAGTTAAATGACACAGGATGGTCATAATGCTTTATCACAGTGCCATAAAGCGTATTTTCTACAAGTTATAAAATAAATAAAAACATGACTGTAAAGAATTCATTACAACAACAACAAAGAACTTAAGAAACAAACTTTCAAACGAAAGGAAACTTCTTGGCAGGGAAAAAATACATTTGAATAAATGTGGGTTTTGACACTCTTATGTAGGTGTCATAACCAGCCATAAAATAATGCAATATGTCACAACATGTGTAAATATATGGGTCATTGACCATTTATGACAGGTTTTGACAAGTTATGTCAGCTGTTATGACATGTTATGACATGGTTATGACCATGGCATAACGCGTTATGATGCTGGGTGTCAAGTAAAGTGTTACCAAGGATCTATTATGGGCTGCACACCTTCACACCCCCGCAAATGGACCGAACCTCACTATTCAAAGCTTTATATTTAGCCAAACCTCCTAAATAGGGGTGTATGAGGCCTTGGAAGGCTCACCTTGTCAGTCAATCACCTGTATTGATCAGACAACAGCAATCATTAGCATTGATAATAGCCAGCAGCTATAAGAGCTTTTTGAGAGACAATAATAAATATATCAGCCTTCCCTTCAGGGTCCATCTTTATCCTGGCCAATATAGCTAACTCAAGGGTGTGTTAATGTGTGTTTGTGTGTGTGTGTGTGTGTGTGTGTGTACGAGAGTATCTAAATCCTCCATCATATGTAAATCTCCTTGGAGACGAGCCCACAGTCACACACAAAGACCAGGATATCAAATACCAGACGTAACAGCAGCTGCTGAACCGGATACACACACATGCACACGTGCACACACACATACACACCTTTTTCTGGTATCTCAGTGTGTTGAGATAAACACATCTGATCCACCCGTTAAAGTTGCTTTTATCTAATCTAACAGACAAATGATACCACAGACACACACTAGTTCTGTCATAAATGAGTTGGTTGCTAGTGTTCACTGTGTAGACAGGAAATGCAGTTTGAATTGATAATGTGGCCATGTAATTGTGATGGTAATGCTCGTATGATATTAGGGCAGCTTGTGGTTGTGATAATTACAGTATATTGACATGTGACAGAAGCTATGGTGGTTGTCTGAGTGTTACTGCGGTTACTGTGTTTGATAATTAGTTATGATTGCCCCTAGAGGCTGATCTATGGTCAGTTTTTACATTTCTTCCCTAATGGTTAAGGTTAGGAAACTGCCGAGTTTAAGCTGATCCTAGAGCTGTGCCTAGGGACACCATCTACATCAAGTATTTGTTAATGGTGGTTGTGTTGCTGTGGCGACTGATTGACAGGTGTAGGAGATTTTCACTCATGCACAGGGTCACAGAGACACAGGGACACAGGGACACAGGGACACAGAGACACAGGGACACAGGGACACAGGGACACAGAGACACAGAGACACAGGGACACAGAGACACAGAGACACAGGGACACAGAGACACAGGGACACAGGGACACAGGGACACAGAGACACAGAGACACAGGGACACAGAGACACAGAGACACAGGGACACAGAGACAGGGACACAGAGACACATAGACAGATAGACACAGGGACACAGGGACACAGAGACACAGGGACACAGGGACACAGAGACACAGGGACACAGAGACAGGGACACAGAGACAGGGACACAGGACACAGAGACACAGAGACACAGAGACACAGGGACACAGAGACACAGGGACACAGGGACACAGAGACACAGGGACACAGAGACAGGGACACAGGACAGGGACACAGGACACAGGGACACAGAGACACAGGGACACAGAGACACAGAGACACAGAGACACAGGGACACAGAGACACAGGGACACAGGGACACAGAGACACAGAGACACAGAGACAGGACCACAGAGACACAGGGACACAGGGACACAGGGACACAGGGACACAGGGACACAGGGCTGTGAATAAAACATGTAGTGAAGGCAGAGAAGAAGTGGTGGAAGAGGAACATAGAAGAGGAGAGGGGATCAGAGCTATAGGAACTTAATCTCAGATTAATCAATAGGAGCAGTGAAGCCATAAAACACAAAGCACAGACATACACATGGCATGTCTCCAGAGCCAGACTGTCCAATCACTGGCCAAGAAAAGGCCTGGTGATCCAATAAGACAAATTGACGAAGGCCCACCTTAATCTCATTAACGGACCTGAAATTGGCCCCTATCAGAGCAGAATGTAATCTCCTGACAGTAAAGACAGATCGATGAGGTGTATTTGCCGACTGACGACAGGCTTCGACGCACGTAATTAGGACCTGATGGATTCTATAGGCGCCAGGGTAATGTTCAGGAGAGCATAGCCTCCTAAATGTTCCAGATAGAGGGGAATAGTAGGGCATATAGAGCAAACATGATTTCCTATTCTACATAAGAGAAGCATAACTATTCTATTTGTATTCTGAACATTGACATTGCTGCACACCACTGAACTCAACACTATCTCCTCAAGCCAACATAAATACGTTGAGGGGTAATAACAAATGTAAACAATCCATTGGTACCCTGGTGGTGTGAAGTTGAACCAAACCACAATACTACTGGTCTGCAAGGATATACGACTTCACATTTATAGCTCCAGTGTCGTCGTCACCATCGAATATGCAGCCGACAGCTGGGGGAGTGTTTGTAAAAGAGATTCCCCACAGATGGAGATTCCATTTGGGCCCTACCCATAACCCTGCCCATGAGAGATAGCCACACACCAAAACATTCACCAACTGGTTGTGAATGTTGTCGCTTTAGAGACTGGATTTGTTTAGGCTAGATCCCCTGCTTTCCAGGGTTGGGAACAATTACATTTCAATTCCAGTCAATTCAGAAAGTAACCCAAATTCTAATTCCAATTTTTTCCTCATTAAAAAGCATTGAAGATAATTGTTAATTGTAATTTCAGTGTACTTCCTGAATTTACTGGAATTTAAATGGAATTGACCCCAACCCTGCTGTTTCCCAGTCTACCAAATTGAAAGTAGGCCTACAATACAAATGTATTGTGTTTAATTGAAGCCAAAACTCTGTCTCCAACTAGGCTTTTGGCATTTCGGAATGAGTATCCATTTTAAAATGTAGTATGAGAAGGTTGTTTGCTTCATCTGGTCAGGACAGCACAGAGTAACATGACCAGTGACCACACTGGGATCATACAGTAGATCTTGTTAGATTTGGGGATATTTTTCCTGAGCAAAACAAATTCCCTTCAAACTTTGGAAACTGTTCTATTCTATTTAATTTCAAGCTAGGCTACTTAATGTCTACCATTACTACCTGAAGCAGTTCTATTAACTCTCTGTAGTTACTTTTCTTTCAGTGCCTGCTTTAAAAATACTGGAGTCATTATTGATTAAAGAGATAGTTCCCCCAAATTACAAAATGACACATTGGTTTCCTTAACCTGTAAGCAGTCTATGGACAAGGTATGACAGCAATTAATGCTTTGGTTTAGTTTCCCTGGCACTGTTTCCATATGCTAACATTTTAGCATTTGTAGCACAAATCCCATTCAAGTCATGGGACCAGTATTAGCATTTTTTGCGCATCATGTCCAAATCAACCGAAAGTATCTAAAATTGATTGTGAAGTTCAACAAAGTCATTTATAGATGTTTTGATATGATGTGCGAAAAATGCTAATATTGTTCACATGACAGTAGCCTAAATGTTCATGTCAAGCACTTTCCCCAGACTCACTAACAGGGGAGTCTTAAAACAACAACCCTTTGATGCCTTTCTCCAGTCATTGGATGTCATTGAATACATAATTGATGATAATTTACTGTTCCATAAATGGCCCATTATCTCCTATAGCCTATCAATAATTAAAAAATGTATATAATTTTAAAAAAATAAAGTGGTTATCCCACTGGCTATAAGGTGAATGCACCAATTTGTAAGTCGCTCTGGATAAGAGCGTCTGCTAAATGACGTAAATGTAATGTAAATGTATCTCAAAAACTATTTAACAAAAACAAAATGAAAATAAGAAAACAAATTCCTAAAACAATAAACAAACTATATTGTAGGCAATCATAATATCACAAACCGTCTGGAAAGACAATTGAAGTCTCTATTCAGGGACTTGATGATAATGATGCTGTAGCCAGATGAAATCTTACCTGACATGGTTATCACAGAATTTAGTGTTCTGAGGTTGGTTGAGCAGAATCGTCCGCGCCGTGGCATCTATTGGATCCGCCTGAGAAGTAGTCCCGGACATCTCATCATCTGCCTTGCGGTAGCCGGCAGATGAGCAAGAGGGTCCTGCACCGTTCGATTGATGGGAGAAAGGTGAAGGTGAGTAAGTGTGTGTGGGAGACAGAGACATAAGAGACGTGGTTTACAGTTAAAAAGTGGAGGGCAGAAACAACGGGTAGGTAGGGCTAACTGTATGCTGATGTAAGCTGGCGGAGTGGCGGTCGATGTCAATGACGTCCCGTCCCCCCCCTCCCCATTCCAAACAGCCCCTCTTCTTTCAGTGCGTTCTCGCCTCGCTCGATGCTATTGCTCCATCACCAATACACACACAAGCCGCTCAACGCCCACGGGACCCCCTGTATAGAATGTGCTGAGGGATGCACAATGGTCAAACAAACAACGTGGGTTTGACTCCTTTTATCGTTGCGGAAACCTTGTGTATTTGTTTATCGTCCTATGTGCGCACAGAGCACCTGCATTATCACCCAAGAGAACCTGATCCGACGCTGCACTGCTTCCCTACTGGGTCCCCCCTCTTTTGTAGTTTCCTCGTTTAAAATCAAGGCGAAGCTGCGATCAGCACGACTTGCACACACACTGAGCGTCGGAGGAACATTTTCCATCATCGGGCTGCGCTAAATAATGGAGGTGGGAGAGAAAGGCAAGCAGGTCTGGACGTGACGGAATAGTTTACCCAGCTGACACAACGAGCCCCGGCGAGAACAGATGGAGCACGCCAGTCACTCGTCTCCTTTCCCTCGGCCTCGCTGTCGGGTAAGCTCCCGACTCCTGGTTGTGAGAATATCCCAAGCCCACAGACCTCCACCGCCTCCGTTTCATCGGGCCGACTCTAATGGTCTAGAAAAGGCTTTTTCTCGGCGTGGCTCTTAATAATTGTCTCCCTGCAACAAGGTTAGATGATGCTCCTACACCAGACAACGACCCCAGTCTCCGGTGGAGCCTTGACTACGGGTGTTCACATCTAAGGGCGGGCTGAGGGCTTCGGATTTAAAGGGACAGTAGCCCCATGAACGAGGCTGGTATAGTGTCTGCTGTCTGACACTTTTTTGCAGGCTCGTTTTACCAGTTTATATTACGCTTGTAAGGGGACGCGTCATCCATCAAGAGATCACGTTCCTCAGTTTCCCACACTGTTTTCTGGGGCCTTATGAGATTCAGTCACTACATTCACTATTCAGAGAAGGCTATATGAAATCATAGGCACAAACTGCAATATTGGCCCTACTGCAGCTCAATTTCTAACTCACTTCAGGTTCTACTCCAAACTTCACCAGCAATACAATTAGCAATCAATTCTTACAAGATTGGGCCCTGTCTGGATCGCATTGTGGGGCTGAAATTGAAAACATCCATCATTATTCCATCAATAATTCAGAAAAAGAATAAGAGCCAGCAGAGCTTTGGAGGGTCGATGTCCCTCTGTATTGAATCAGTCAGAATAGGGTGTTGGTTTCCCCAGAGAGGCCTATCAATGGGCCACAGCCAACATGGACAGAACCTTGGCCCCTGAGTTCTACAACCATATATTTCAATCTAATAACATTACGAAGTTATTTCTGTATATAGCCTCTGTCAAATGACTAGGCTGAAATGGCCCGGTTGAAAGCAGAACAGCTGTTCATTAAAGCCCCTGATAGCATCACTATTCATGCACATCCTGTTTTCCACTGGAATGGGGACAGAGTAGTGGAGATAACAGTAAGGTCTTGTCAGGCAGATCAGGTAAGCATCCAGCGTGCAGGAAGGGACATTAGAACCACATACAGGTGCCACAGTATGTGCAGGCTTAAAGCCAATTTATCCTTGATCAGTAGATGTGGTCGGAGGCTCCGTATGGAGGGTGTGACGCAATTGTGGAGCCTCCGGAGGCTTGCAGAGGCCAAATTGAGCTCCGTACCACATCGCCTTGCGCCTCCCAAATGTTGTAACAATGCGGAGGGCTCCGTAGAGCTCCGCATTGACATGATTGGTTGACGGTAGGTGGGGTCAGGAGGTCCTGTATAAACACAAACTTACTTCCTTGACAACTTCCTTCACAACAGCTCTGCTCAACAGCTCTACGCTGCACCGTGAAGTGCAATACGTATGAATGCCCTGACTTCTGCAGAGGCCATATCACCGTAAATGCTTCACGGCCAATGCAGATGTCAGATTGACCATGCAGCACCTTTTAGGATACGTTGAATTAGGTGCTAGAGCTGGTCTGGAACAAAATCCTGCACACATAGTGGACATCCAGGGCCAGATTTTCCAACCCCTCATAAAGATTCATGCAGGGAACCTCCTGGTCGTCTGGGGACAGTTCAAGGAGACAGAAGGGGTCAAAGGTCATCTGAGAAAACTGATCACTGTGGTCACGTTCCCCTGCTCAGACGTTGCATGCACCAACCAATGGTTGCGTGCCACGTCATCACCTGTGCCATCGCATATGATGTGGTTAGCTGATACGTAAAATACCTATCCAGGCGTTTTAAGATCTGGCATGTGTCAGCAACACCTGAGCAGAGGAGCGCACCCTGTGTCTCCTCTCTTAGTGGGTTATTACCCAGTAACCAACAGGCCAATAAATCATCTATCTCACAGCTCATTGGGGAGAGAGAGGAGGAGAGGAGGTTGTGATCACGTAGGAGTGTACATTTTTAGCTGAGGATGCGCCAAGGTGAAAGACAATGGAGTGAAAACGGAATAAGACAGCTACAGGACTGGTTACATTATGATTAGGGCTGTCCCCGACTAAAAGAAGTATTGGTCGAGTGAAAGTTGTCTGTTCTTTCGACCAGTCGATTGGTTGAAACATTTTAACATGTATTTTTCCATATATAGACACAGCCTATCTGTTTAATAAAATCAACTATGTATGCATTGAGCTTGCCTGATGCTTTAATAAGCGCTCTGTTTGATGAAATAAGACACACATGACTCAAGAGGGATCAAGATAACCAGAAGAAAAAACCTTAACCTGTCCTGACCATCCTCCTCCCGGTCCTACTGGCTTTCATTACTCTCCTACAGATGCCTGTAATAGGTTACACCACGAGTCAGCAAACTTTCTCATGTGGAATGCCAATTTATCTTACCATTTCTACCGAACTGTGTGCCAGTTATGGCTTTCATATGCACATTTTCGTGGAACAGTTTCATTTAATTTATAATAACATCTTCGTATCTCAAAATCATTGTCATGTGGTTAATCAAAATTCAATCCAAATCTAAATGAAAATGACACAAACCTAAAAAGTAACTTCTATTGCCATTGCCAACTACTGTATGTAAAAATTGCCTATAAAGCCAACAAATACAAAGATTGCAGCCTGCAGGTAGAAAATATCCTGATAAAAATAAATATCCTATAAATCACATTGGCTATGCATGGCCTGTCTGCAACTAACTTGAAACATTATATCAACTATCAACTTGCTCGGGACAGACACAGCTGTATGCTACTTGCACAAGGGATAAGAAGTAATCCTATTTTATGATGTTTCCAATGGATCAGAGCATTACATTTTTCCCTTTTCACGCTGAGTGGTTATCAAAAGGGAGAGAGCTGGAAAGATTTTTCAAATACATTGAGGAACTATTGTCATTCTCAATGGATGTAAAAACAGACTTTGTTTGCTTGCTGTTTGAGGTGAAGAAAACACTACTTTGAGAAGCTCCACAGCTCATTAATGGTGGTGCGTTAAGCCAATCAGAAATACTATCAGATCCCCAAATGGGCACATTTATATGCCTACATTCGCGCACAGGCCAGGTAGCCTATAGGCCTACTTCTATTTGTAATCAGGTGCGCATCCTTACTCAACATTGACAGGAGCGCTCCAAACAAAAGTCAATGACTAAACTGACAAAACTCGTAAATGGAATGAAATAAACCAAAACGTATATCTTACAGGTGTAGCATTGGTTGTGCAAACAATGTATCCACTCCGACAATGAGAACGTAAAAGACTGGAATAATATTATATTGAATGTATTAACAGACATTACCATAACCAACCAAACAAACATTGTAGATTAGAAATTATAGGAATTAATGGTACATGTACTACTGGTGATATATGTAATGGGGAATTGATAGACTAACAATCAAACACAAACAATTCAAACAATGAAGTTATGAATCAATGAATGTGCACAAATTGGCGGTAGAGAGCGCATTCTGGAGAGAGACGTGCATTGTGCAACCACACTCCCCTTATTCTTGGACTGTGCCATCCCCACGGCCGCCGCAATGGATTAGTTCACTGAGATGGGCGCGAATAAGACAGGTGTGCAATAAAAATAAATAAATAAATAAATATAGGCAGTATATATATATATATACACTGCTCAAAAAAATAAAGGGAACACTTAAACAACACATCCTAGTTCTGAATGAATGAAATCATCTTATTAAATACTTTTTTCTTTACATAGTTGAATGTGCTGACAACAAAATCACACAAAAATTATCAATGGAAATCAAATTTATCAACCCATGGAGGTCTGGATTTGGAGTCACCCTCAAAATTAAAGTGGAAAACCACACTACAGGCTGATCCAACTTTGATGTAATGTCCTTAAAACAAGTCAAAATGAGGCTCAGTAGTGTGTGTGGCCTCCACGTGCCTGTATGACCTCCCTACAACGCCTGGGCATGCTCCTGATGAGGTGGCGGATGGTCTCCTGAGGGATCTCCTCCCAGACCTGGACTAAAGCATCCGCCAACTCCTGGACAGTCTGTGGTGCAACGTGGCGTTGGTGGATGGAGCGAGACATGATGTCCCAGATGTGCTCAATTGGATTCAGGTCTGGGGAACGGGCGGGCCAGTCCATAGCATCAATGCCTTCCTCTTGCAGGAACTGCTGACACACTCCAGCCACATGAGGTCTAGCATTGTCTTGCATTAGGAGGAACCCAGGGCCAAACGCACCAGCATATGGTCTCACAAGGGGTCTGAGGATCTCATCTCGGTACCTAATGGCAGTCAGGCTACCTCTGGCGAGCACATGGAGGGCTGTGCGGCCCCCCAAAGAAATGCCACCCCACACCATGACTGACCCACCGCCAAACCGGTCATGCTGGAGGATGTTGCAGGCAGCAGAACGTTCTCCACGGCGTCTCCA